CCCCGCAGTTCCCCCCAATTTTCATTTCTAGGGTTTTCATTCTTTATCGTCTTCGATTTTTGGTTTTCCCCTTTTCTGTCTCGAATCACCATGAGCAAGCCCGTTAAAGACAGCTTTTCAATGTCCGACCTGGACTCATCTCTCCCCGCCGCTGCCGCCGGTAATTTCACCCGTTTCACGATTTGTATCTGTTGGGTGTATGTATTTCTATGTATGTATATGGGTTCTGATTGATTGATCGATATTGCCTTTATCTGCAGCTTTGAGTGCTGAGGATCGCGCTGGTTTAGTAAATGCCCTCAAGGTTTTCGATTTTTTTGTTTCGCAGTTTTAGACATAATTTGTTTTTACCAGTTATGTATTGTATTTTTTTGTTGGTTGAAGTTTCCGAGTATACTGTGTAGGATAAGCTGAGCAATCTGGGTGGGCAGGACGTTATGGAGAAGCTGACCCCAAAAGTGCGGAAGCGCGTGGAGGTGCTTCGAGAGATTCAGGTTTGTGTTGATATGAAGATGATATGAAGAGTCATGTTGGGTTGCTAGTTGCAATATCACTCTTGACTGTTTACTAAGTATAACAATTGTGTGCAGTTTTGCTGATTTAGTGTTCGATTTTTCTCGGGTTCAGTTGTTTCTTGTAGAAACCTGATTTTTAGTTATTCTTGGTTTGTTATGGTAATTAAGGTGTTGCTTACTCATGGGAAGTTCTTTATTGGTTGTTGATATCTGATATGCAAGAGCACTGAAACATGTTAACATATCTACTTAAGCCCTTTTACCTTTTATTTCCTGGGGCTGTTTATTTATGTCTTGGGCTGCATTATTTGACCCTCATGTAGTACTGTTTAGCAACTTTGGTGCTAGGATTCCATTATCCATGGGTTATGCGCAAAAATTCTCCATTAACGGTGTTGTGAGAGTAGATGGATCTAGTGAAGAAATAGTCGACTCTAGTCAACTGACCAGGCTAATTCGTAGAACACAGACATTGTGGTTGTAGAGGCTAATTGTCATATTTGAATCCCAAAAAAATTCCAACTCTGAGGTTTCTCTAGCTCAGTAAACATCAATGTAATTTACATTCCATTAGTGAGTCTGTATATCAAGATAGAATGTATAATTGTGGGCCATGGGAATCATTGTTGTTGTAGTCGTCTAACATGACTACTCATTGACAGGGTCAACATGATGAGCTAGAGACAAAGTTTTTTGAAGAGAGAGCAGCACTTGAAGCAAAATACCAGAAACTTTATGAACCATTGTATTCGAAGGTATGGCAATTTCACGACTTAAATACTTATTGTATGCTGCCAGAGTGAGGATTTTCATAACCAATACCATTTTCTTGTTCTTTTTTCTATTGGATGTTGCATTATTTTGCTCTGTGTTCTGATCTCTCTCTCTCTCTCCCTCCCTCTATATATGTATATATATATATATATACACATATATATGTCTATTATCCATGCTATACCTTTATCTTATATATATTTGTCATTTTCACTAGTGGCTTTTTTTTCACTGTGCAGCGCTTTGAGATTGTGAATGGGATTGTAGAAGTTGAAGGGGTGTCTGATGCTCAGGGAGGGGATAAAGCAAATAGTGGTATAACATGACTGACGACTTATCATCTGTATTTCTTATTGTCCAATTATAGTTGAATAACAATATCAGAATGGTCTCTATGCTGCTTATCTTGATTTACCTCGAGACTCTTTCTGCTTTTGGTTTGTGTACATGTAAACTGGTGTTGCTAATATTTAACAATCTTCATCCCAGATAAAGGTGTGCCTGACTTCTGGCTGACAGCAATGAAGACAAATGAGATTTTGGCTGAGGAGGTTGCTTTATTAAGTTTTTAATAAAAAAATAACTATTTTGTGTGTTCTCTTGACTATGCTAAAGATTCTTTGTATTGCTATGTTTAGATTTCAGAACGTGATGAAGAGGCTTTGAAGTTTCTTAAGGATATCAAGTGGTCTAGGATTGACGATCCCAAGGGGTTCAAGCTCGAATTCTACTTTGATACCAATCCTTTCTTCAAGAATACTCTGCTTACAAAAACATACCATATGGTTGATGAGGATGAGCCAATACTAGAGAAAGCAATAGGGTAATTGGTTTTCCATCTCTTAGCAGTTCTAGCCTACATTCTTTTGTTTTAATTTTTTTCCCTTCTTCCCCTCATTTGAAATATTTACTTATTTGTGTTTAATTTGTATCCAAAATCTTACACATTGCAGGACAGTAATTGAATGGTATCCAGGCAAATGCTTGACCCAAAAGGTATTGAAGAAAAAACCAAAGAAGGGGACAAAAAATGCAAAGCCAATAATGAAGACTGAAAAATGTGAAAGCTTTTTCAACTTCTTTAGCCCACCAGAGGTTCCGGATGATGAAGATGAAATCGATGAGGATGAGGTGAGTGTGGTCATTTTTCCACTATTTTGTAATATGAAACATGAACCTGTTTAATATTCCCGATGCGTGCTCACATCTTCTAAATGGGTTATATATGTATTGGTAATAGGCTGAAGAACTTCAGAATCTGATGGAACAAGACTATGACATTGGGTCAGTCTAGTGTTCTATTCCATTAATAGATTCGCCAATAATTGAATGTTCATGAAAATCTATATCCCGTTTATCTACTAATTTCTGTGTTTATGCCAACTTGCCTTTTACCACCTATAGATCAACTATCCGGGATAAAATTATTCCGCATGCTGTTTCGTGGTTTACTGGTGAGGCTGCACAAGATGATGATCTTGAGATGATAGAGGAAGATGGTGAAGGTGGTGATGATGATGAGGAAGATGATGATGATGAAGAAGAGGATGAAGACGAGGATGACGATGATGATGAAGACGATGAAGATGATCACCCTGTCAAGTTCACAAAGAAGGTAAATAATAGATCAATCTAACAGGGAATATCAATTTTATTTTAACTATGGAATATTTTTTTGGCTGATAAATACTTACATTTGTTTTTTCTCTACTGTGTAATTGCATGAAAAACTTCAGCCTTCTCGATCAAAGGTATAGAAGTTTCTTAACGACTTGTCTGTTACGGTTTATTGTGGTTATTTTATGTCTTGCTGAATTTTTTATACGTTTGCAACAGAAAAGTGGTACGGGACTAGCTGGCGAAGGTCAGCAGGGGGAACGCCCTCCCGAGTGCAAGCAGCAGTAGTAAGCTGCAGATTAGATAGCCGGATGAATTACCAAATTTGCCCTTCCCTGCATTGTTTGCTTACGGGTTGGCTTTAGTTTTATATGGTGGTTTGAGTGGAGTTTATCTTTATGTGGGAGTCTTATGTTTACTAGATCATGTACTTTATTTGGTTTTGGTTCTTTCAATATCTATTGCTTGATGCACTTGCTGAAGGGGGGTTGCTTGTGGGTTTATGTAGTATATGAGCCGAGGTGCTTCTATGAGTTTTGTCTGTGGGGAAACCTAAATTGATTAATGGATGAGAATATGAGATTATATTAAGTAAATTTTTACCGTTAAAAGAGTTGATGCAGAGATCTTTGGTGTCTCATCTGTTATATATATTGGTAGCTAAAAATTTATTCAAAAAGACCAATAAAAATTTAAACATAATCATGTTTCATCTGATAAACTAGCATGTGGGAAAATGACCACATACAAATAAATTATATTAATCTAAACATATTGTACTAGTTAATAGTTAAAGGTAAAAGATAAAAACCATTGACACTTCCCGCCATTTTTTCAACGCATCGTTTCAAAATGTGGTCGGATTTTGGCCAGAGAAAAAATCGCAATGGCAGCGGCAGCCTATGCATCTCTTGTGGTTTTGGAGATGAGTTTTCTTGATGATGACAATAGTTGGACTCTGTTCTGTAAAAGTTCGTTTGGGGAAGAAGGTTGCCCTTCCGAACTGTAAGGAAATGGGGAAGAAAATTGTGAAATTTTGCAAAGGGCTTCCCCTATCGATGATTGCTCAGAGAGTATTCTGAGTTTGCGAGTGAATTGGGTCGAACCCTCAGCTTTCCGTACTCTCTCAAGAAGTTGACTTTATCGGGTTTAAGAACCTGCTGGGATGAAATATGCTCCTTCCTTGCCACATCTTCAAGGAAATAGTGAAGCTTGTTGATTGTCAATAGGATCTGTGGGGAATATGGTTGGCATTCAAGTGGAAGTTTTGTAGCTAAGCTTTGACAATCTTTGCCCGTTGCATTATGCAGGCACCGAATCGGGTCTCTTGCTCTCCTATTTTGTTCTACTTTCCTCCCGTCGCCACTCTTCCACTCAGCATTCTAACATGACAATGTACAAGTATCTTATATCTTGTTGTTAGACGATAAATAGTTCTCTTACAATTATTTACTCAAATGAATCGAACCTTACTATCGCTTATTTAAGAAGTGAAATAAGATACTGTGGCGTGTATTGCATTGCACGAGCTATGTACTAATTTATCTTAATATGACTTAAACAATTACTTTAATGCAGTACACAGGTATTGGATTAGTTATTTTATAAGCTCAAAACAACCATAAACTGAAAATTTACTGGAGTTTGGAGTAAGATGAGATATTAATTCAATTATATCCTGAACATTAAAAAAAAATTTTGCACACAATTGCATTAACGTTTTTTTTACCATTTTTTCCCCCCTTTAGCCAGGTTATCCAGCGCTTGAAAGTTAGCACTGACCATCATAGGAATCCCAGACTTTGACTTGAAAGTTAGCACTACTCAAGCTCTCCGGCACTTGGTTCGACTCGGATAGGTTAACTGTCACTCTAAGGCCCTCATCATTCCTGAGCTCCTCTTGCTCCTTCGCTATCTCCTTAGCCGATATCACCGCCGAGTCGCTGCAATAGCTCATTTCAATCAAAATCAGCGTTGATATATGTCCGATTTCCAAAGGAATCTCCTTTAGATTAGGCAAAAAATGGAGAATGAGGTGCTCGAGGCACGGAAAGTGGGACCAGTCGGCCATGATCCAATCTTCCAGGTCACTGCAGAGATAGACTTGCAAGACTTTGAGGCTACTGAACTGGCCTTCAACGGTTTCCCACTTGGGTCCTTTGCAGGACAACTGATTCAGAATGAGCACCTGAAGATGCGGCAGATGGCCGACCTTGGCCGACAGCTGTTCCCAAACGAGGTTGGTGTTTTCTAAAGTCAACTTCCTTAGGGAAATCGGGAACACGAGGCCCAGAGCCATGTCCTCAGGGACTTCACAGAAGTCGCAATAAAGGGATTCCAGCTCATGCAGCCAGAAGAGATTATCGATTGCGTAATCATCACACGACGAGGACAGTAAATTCAGCTTCAGCTTCAGTTTCTTGAGATTTGGGATTCTCCTGACAATCTCCTCACTCCACTTGGAAGTCCATACGGTCTTAAGCGTCTGTAGGTCCCAAAGGACTCCGGCATCGTCATGGCTGGTCGGGGGATCAGCCAAATCGAGTCCATCGATTTTGATGTGCCTAAGTCGGGGCATCCTCCAGATGTCGAGTGATGGGCAATCGTAAATATGATCAAGTTGTAACGTCTGTAAATTCCACAGGTGGTAGAATGATGATGGGAACAGGCCGGTCTTCCGGGCGGGGACCACGAGGTGTCGTGAGTTGACCAGGCCAAAAATATCTTCTAAAGGATATGTGCATATATTATTATAATCTTGGATCCAGTGAAACACCCTCAACAATGGGAGAGGACTTACTCCCCGGACATTACATATCAAAGAACGAGCGAGTGTTGCTGATCCTGCCATGTTACGGACTGTTCGGGTGAATTGTTTGCTACTCGATTCTCGTCTCAGAATACCTAGTCTTCGTTGAGTGTGCCAGTTTTGCCCTGTGTTGGGATTATTGGTTGCCGCCAAAAGGAAAAACCCGTCTTTCTCAGCTTCCTTCATGCACAGGTCCCTCACGAGATCATGGATTCGGCAACGTTTTATGTTTCCATCATATCTCAGCTCCTGAACTAAAACTAGATTTCTTCGGACAAGGTCCTTTATGTATTCTTCACCAGCTGCCTCCAGGGTTGTATCACTAATCGGTTTCAGAAACCCTTCCGCAACCCACAGTTTGACGAGTGTCGAGGCACTGATCAAGTCATCCTCAGAAAATATTCCCAGGTAAAGAAAACACGGCTTTAGATGAACCGGCAAATGAATGTAACTCAAACGTAATATTCTCAAGCAACGTTCATTCTCATCTAAATTCACCACTGAATTCAAATTTTTTTCAATGTATTGCCAGTGTTCTCTTGTTTGGGTGGAGTTTGCCAGGAGTCCACCAACAACGACAATTGATAATGGAAGCCCTTTACAGTTTCTAGATATATTCTTTCCAAGTTCTTCCAATTCCAGAGGGCAATCGTGTTCTCCAAACACACATTTTCGAAACAAGATCCAACTGTTACTCTCATCTAGAAAGTCCACCTTAAGGCTACAAGTGCCGTTCATCTCGTAAGCCAAGTTTGATAGCCTTGTGGTTATCATTATTCTACTTCCGTCATTGTAATCGGGAAAGAAGAACTTAATCCTATCCCACGCCTCGATGCTCCACATGTCATCCATCACAATCAAGTACCTTCGACCTGAAAGACTTTTGTGTAATTTTTCTCCTAATTCATACTCCCCCATTTGTCTCAAGCTTTCTCTGCTCCCTACAGTTTTGAGGCAGACAAGGATTTCGACAAGTATCTCTTTTGAATCATATTCTTGAGAAATCGTAGCCCAACCACGAAAATCAAAGTGTTGCACAATAAGCGGATTCACATATATATGAGTGGTCTTACCAATGCCACCCATGCCGACAATGGCGATGATCTCGCGACTCGATTGTTGTCCAGTCAGCTTATCCAAGGCTTCAAGTAAGACATCATCCTGACCAACCATGGCAGCTTGATGAGTTAGAGGAGGAGATCTCGGCCGGCCAGCTGGCATAGAATAATAATTTCTTTTCACCATTATTATTTTCTGCTTCAGAACCATCAGCAGCGCGTCTCCCTTGATCAAATCCAAGTCTTGCATCACTTTCTCTAAACCATGATACAAGTCGATGGGACTGAAATTTTCCTCGTGACTCATGGCTTTGCGCTTGTCCTCATTTTTGGCATTTACAGCTTGAATGTGATGGACTATATGGGAGTCGATTAAATCATCTGCTTCATAAGCTGTGTCGGCTATACGACCCTCTAAACCCTCTGCATCGATGGAATGATTCTCGAGAAACTCTTGCAAGAAGGTGAGTTTTTCAGTGAGAGATTGAATCTGTGTTGTGTGGAGAGAAATTGGAGGGAAAGGATGAGTATGGATTTGGTGTATGGTATGCTTAAGAGAGAGCAAAGCTGCATAAGCTGCCATCTCTAATCAAATGGGTTTATGTTTTTTAGTTTGAAGTTCAGAAAATGGCAATTATAGATTGAAAATGAAGATTTGTTCACATATGTTGCTTTACATAAGAGAAGATGGCCGGCTATATTTGTGGTCTTGGTACAACATTGGCCCACTCCTCATCTTGTTTGTGTTCATGTGAGTCATTTTTTACTGCTATTATGTATGACTTAGGGGGAATAAAAAAACTCCGGTTCGGGCGGGCAAACTCCGGTTCATTTGCATGGCTGGTGAATAAAAAAAGTAATGGTTACCATTGCAATTTAAATACATAATTTAATTGTTGGGTAAAAGTATATCAATAAAAATATATATTAAAAGTTAATGATTTTTGTATTTATTATTAAATTTTCGTATATGATATATCAAATTAATTGTCTTATAACGAGTACTGATTCAACATGTATGCTATGTTTGGTAGACCAATGAACTAGCTTATAGCTTATTTGATTAGCTTAAAAGCTCTCTGTATTTAAATAAGTTCCGTTTGGTAGGACGAGCTTATTTCATAAGCTTCTTTAGGTGGCTTTTCAAATAAGTTAGTTGAATTTTTTATTCCAATTAGTTTATCAGCCAAATTTACCAAACACTTTTGTCATATAAGCTACCTTTTCAGCTATAAGTCATAAGCTATATGTTATAAGCTCGAAAATTACTAATAAGCTATAAATTAGATTATCAAGTATCAACTATCAGCTAGCTTATCAGCTTGTTTTAGCAAACATAAGCTATATTGTATACATAAATTGTTGTACATACATACTAAGCACCCTTTAGAGATCCATAGGCATGAGCATGACTAGTGCTG